AAATACTACTTTAAGCCCATTATTAATACTACAATATGATTATCTGCATTTCGGAGATAAAGTGCAGAAAATAAACTTGAGGAAATAAACTCAAACTTTGCGTTTATAACAAGGAAGTTTAATTTTCTGCTCCTTGTCTTTGACTTCCGAAGAAATATAACCAAAAATGAAAATGAAATTAAAAAATAATCAAAGAGTGACTTTTGGATAGCTACCAACTTAAGTGTATAAAGATTTTTGTTAACTCCCAAAGTGTAACTCATCTCATTGAGATCAGATTTGCTTCACATTTCAATATTTGATGTAAATCCTTATATAGACTTGACTTCAAAAATGCCGGTTTTATGTTTTTGAGAACGGTATTTCACCATGTAAATAAGTGCTCAATGTCTCTTTTTTTTAGTCTAAGAATTCAATTCATTAGTCTAAAATTAAAATAATAATAATAATAATAAGTTATAATACCTGTAGTTGATTCTTCAGTTTTCATGTTCTTTCAACCGTAGAATTTTTCAAATTCCGTCACAGAGCCACGAACAGCGAACTCTGGTGGCAGCTTATTTCTACAAGCGATGTCTTTGAATAAAATTTTTTGCAATTGCCATACCATACGCGAACAATTTCTCGTAATATATTGTGCGGACGAAAATATAATTCATAAACTCAAGAAATGTAAGAATAGGATATACACAAGTAGAGTAATTTAACTTCAAATACTGCGATTGATTACTTCTGCTTTACGATTTTCGTCTTTGAGATATAAATATTGAAATACTAGTCGTGACTAGTGCAATTTATTCAACAATTTACCTGTTTCAACGGAAAATAATAGTAACTTAAACCAATTCCGCGCCAACCTTTGCGTGCCTAACTGTTTTTTTGCTTTTACGCCTCTCTAATCGTTCTCTTGTTAAATATGAATTAAAGAGTCCTGTTTGGTTCAGTATAATTAATTGACACAGTTGGTTTTTTCGTTACGCTTCAATCGTTATCTCATTTATAATGTCAGTGCTTGATTTTCTTCTTTATATTATTGCTTAAACGGTTTGCCGGTTCTGTGTCTTCGGATCAGAAATTACCAATGAAAGGAGGTGGTGCAGAAGCGATAGCGTTGGATAAACTTGAATATATAAGATTAAGATAACAAGATGCTAAGAAGCTAATTGGCTAACAGGTTGAAAAGCGGGTTTAAGGCGTTCAGGGATTAAAAGCTTAAGCATTTGAGAGATTGAATAGTTAAGAAAATAAGAGGGTAGGGAGGTTGGGGCGTTAAGAAATTGAGGGGTTAAAGGAAGTTACTGAAAATTAGGAAGCTACCGGGTTGAGAGGTTAAGTGGTTGAAGGCTTAACGGGTTAATGGATTAATGTCCCGTTATGTCACTGTTTGTTTTGTGTACTTTTACTTTTATAGAGCGGACGTACCCACGCATGCTACAGCCTGCTCACTTCCCAAGTGTTGTGTTTCACATTCGCAATAGGGCTAGCCTTCCAGTATCATTGATAAATGGCTAAGAGTATAAGGGGTAAGGTAAAACGGTGAAGAAAGGGCTGCAAGATGAGTGTAAGAGAATAAGGGTATAAGAGGTAAAAAAGATACCGGATGAAAGATGAAATAGTAGCAAGCGCTTTAGAGAATATGAGGGAAAGACATCACCCTCCTCCGCTATGCTCAGTTGAAAGATGATTTTTTTCCTAGAATGTGTTGGCACTTCTTCCTTTTTATGATATTTGTAAATATACGCTAAGCTTTTCTAGTTTGAGCTCTGGGATTGAAATATAACTACACTTCTGTAGCCGGTTAATGTTAAACCGCCAAATTTTAAAATATTTCTGCAAAAAAGGATTTGAGTTTTTAACTCCTTTATAAAATATATCCGTATGGATTTCTGGAGTGCTAAAAAACTGGATTATACTTTCTAGACAGATGGCACTGACGTTCCATTTTGACAATTTGTACTTAGCGGGTTTATGATAAGAAAACGAGTTCGAGTTTATTTAGCTCCATCTTTTGATGACGAGGTTTATAAATAAATCGATTTTTCCAGTAACCGACTATCGGTACCACACCGGCTTTCAAGCATTTACGAAATGTTGTACATAACATTATTGCATTCTATTAGGAAAGTTGAAGGCCGCCCTTTCTGGTCACCCTTGCGAGAAGTTCGAATGAAAATAATAAAAATTGTTGAGGTTATCTGTTGGCAATTTTTGAATAGTCGTAATTGGTGTACAGATAAAGCGTTAAAGCGTTACTTGGTCCGCAATTATCTTTTCGTATCATTTTGGAATATTTAAAATATCGTTTAAGTAAATATATTAAAAAAAAGACAATTGACTTTCAATAATTGATGTCAGGCATATCAACGCCAATTTTAAGAAGAGCTTCATGTGATGGACTTAACATATGCGGTAGTGTGCTACGGAGCAATTTTTCGTGATTGGTCACAACGTAATGTTAAAAGAGCCTCTTTGATACTTTTGCTACAGTGTTTAATGGTCTTGTATTATTAGGCTAAAAGCAACTTTGTCACTATTGATGAAAAAGTTTCTAATTTATTGCACCGATACCACTCATTAAGTCCGTCCTAGTTTAGGATTATCGCAACGGATGCACTTTTTATCGATATGATCAGAAAACGTTGCAGAACATTATTTTCTGACATGGTTGAAGCAGTGTTTTTGAAAATTCTTGTTTCGTGAAACACAGGGCTTCCTAAAGAAATGCACACACATATCGGGTGATTATTAAAACGCCTCATCGCCCAATCCGTTTATTCCGCAGATATTCATTGAGATTACCTCTCATATCACCATGATATTGGGAATGCCCTCAATCTTGCTGAGAATAATAGTCCTTTTCGTCCTCAAACTGCTCACGAATATTAGGCACGAAAGTAAATTAGAAAGAATAAAGTGTGTATACACTTTGTTTGACATTCTGCACTTTCCATTGTTTTTAAGGTTTGCTAAAATTTTTTCGCCTTCTTAATCACATACCTTAACGCAAAACCAAATTTTTGACTCATGAAACATTCCCCTTCGGGGCGTTCAAGTAGAACAGAGCCCCCGTACACATCGCTTTATTACTTGAAGAGTTTAAGCGGTATTTTTCTTTAAAATAGGACTATTAAGTGTGAATTCTCATAAATCTCCCAAGCACTTTAAGAGAGAGACTTCAACGAACTAATAAATTCCCCGAAACCTTGACCTTGGATAATTGGAATCGGAAGAGATTTTCAAATGCCCGGCATTTGAATCAGAAGAAAGTTCAACGGAGAAGCCTTCTCGGTCGTAGGGTTAAACGTTTAAAATCATTGAAGGAGGGCAATTTTAGAATGTCGGTTTAAAAAATTTTCCACACAGTTTTTAGGTTTTATTTTTATTATAACCCCCTTTCCCATTACAATTTTAAATGATGGAGTTTTATTCAAAATTATGAAAAATAGATAATAAAAGCACAATAAACCAAACTGTATGAGAAGACATGACTTAATTTTATTTCATAAATTCTTAATCTCAGTTGTTCAGTCATATTGAAGTACCGCGAAGTGGAAAAAGAGAAAGTTAAGCAAAAAAAAAAAGAAAGAATTAAGATAAACTAGTGAAATGAAATGTTGTCTAAGCTAAAAATACGAATATTAAGGACATTGTGGATACTTAAAAACTTTTAACAGTAAGTTGCGAATGTATAGCAATGTATGTGTACGTATTCTTATAATGTTCTGGTCCTTTTCCCATTTGTCGGTTATTTATCATTATTATTACAAGCTGCTGTTGTTGTTTTTGTTACTGCTACTGCCATTATGTGGGCTTGTTTTCCATTCATTATAACTTAGCTAAAAAAATTTCTGCTTTTTAATTAGCATAATTTTTGTTTTTTTGTTTTGTTAATTAGCGTAACTTATCAACAACATTTCATAGAGCACACGCGCGCACATACCCCGATAAACAAAAAGAAATCAAAAAAAAAAAGAAAGAAATTCTTAACAAGATAACTTGAAAGACAACAGGATTCTTAAGTTGGAAGAAGACACAAAAAACGGGACCCTTCTTGTTCTTCTTATTTTACATTTCCTTACAGCTGAAAGGCTTCAGGAAAATATGCAGGTTTTAACGTTGCTGCTGTTCTTTTGCCTCTTTCTCTTATGCGCCTGTTTGCATGTGTTTGGCAATTTTTCAAAGTCTGCTTTTCGGCGAACTTTCACTCAACTATTTATTTAAAAAAAAAAAAACCAGTTAAAAATAAAAAAAAATAAATCTGCATATAAAACTATGCTAGAACTATGCTTATGCTCGGGTTTGCTCCTGTATGCGCGCAAGTGTATATGAGTGAAAAGATAAAAAAAAAAAGAGTTTGGCTTTAGTCCAGTTATTCCATTATATTCATTTTTTCCCAGCTTTTTTCATTTTATTCCGTTTTCATTTTTGTTTTTATCGTTATGCCGCCGTTAGGTCTTTTCAGCGCTTTTGTTAAACATTGTGTTTACATAGTTTACAGCTTTCAAGAGTAAGACGAACAACGTTTACACATATCCGTACATACATTGATGCATGTGTAGATGTAGGCCTCTTGTGTTAAATAACAGCTTGTTGTGCGTAACAATCATTACTGTTGGGTAATGTTTTTCTTTTTTCTCGTTTGTAAATATTTCAAGAAGTTTTTTACATGCTCTTCCGAATCCTTTCACTCTTTTTTGTATTTTTTTTTTTTTTTTTTTTTTGCTTGTCAAGATGCTTTCCCGTTTTTCATTCTATAGAAAGACTTTTTTATACGGAAAATGTTATTGTTGCGTGTTCCTTCCTTTTGTTTGTTCTTTTTTCAGCTTTTACTGAGTGTGCATATTAACCTAAAAATTTTTGGAAGTTTTAGTGTATTGAACCTTTTGATTAGGTAATTATTGCGCGAATACATATTATATATTAAAAAATTATATTTAAATAATAAATTGTATATATTAAAAATATAAATCATATATATTAAAAAACTATAAACTGTAAGACTGGGTTTCCTAACTTTAGGATAAACTTTTAGGATAAACGAGGTTTTTTAGGCTATCCTATGAAGAATTGTTACTTTTGATTGGGTAGTTAAGGGTCTTAAAGATATAACTGCTACTCTTAAGATGGCACTGAACAGCTATTGGTGTCACCATGCTCTTAAATCAAGTTCAGTTAAAGCATCGTAATCCTGTTGTTAGGGCGCCTGAGAGTTGATGTTGCGGGTGCTGACTTTAAAGTGTCCTTGAAAGTTTTATGACGCTATTAAAGAGCTTTCAGGCCGCAGATAAGCTGAATGATGAGTTGAATGTGAAAAAGAAAAAGATCGGTTTGTCTATTTCATTTTCTGATTGAGCCATCGCCGTTGCGAAAATATACGAAGAATTTGCCAAACTATCGAGCTGCATCCTGAGAAACTCTTCTTGTTTTCAATAATCCTCATTCTATGTGTTTTTTGCGAAGTTTACACCAATATTTCCATTTTTATTGCCGCGGGCAAATAAACAAATGAACAAGAAGGCAGACAGACAAAGGTGCCTTAACGCATTCAAAATTAACCACTGATGAGTAACGTATATACTTTGTAGGGTTTCCGATGTTATTTTCAGGTTGTTACAATCACTTTGATAAAAGAATGAAACTCTGATACCCTATAACATTGGATGGGTGTAGCCGATTTTTTCCACTTTTATGCAAGTGCTGGAAGATCAGTTAGAGAATATACGTGCAAATTTTTGTTTTTTTGAATTTTTTTGATTATAAGTAACGAGTAAAAAATTAAATTCTTTTTATTTCTAAAAACGAAGTATTTTCAAGTTACGTTATACTGTAGGCTTAGCCTTTGACAGTTTTGAGCCCCATTCTCAATGCTAACCTGCTTACAAGAATTTCCTATGTTTTTGCAAATTTGAAACCGGTATTTTAATTTTTACCACCTGGAGAATGTTTACCACGAGCATTAGGGGGACGGATGGACATAGGGACAGAGAGGCAGATAGACAGCCAGACGTTCGGGCACGGTTAAACCGATTTAGAATGTAATGCTACATGGGTGGGATATACACTTTATGGATTCCTTTTCGTTATTGCAAACGCGTCTGGCATGAATATAGCTCTTGTCATTCGGTGGTGGCAATGATTCGAGTTTATTTGCAGTGGAAAATTTCCAAAATTGAGTAAATCTCTTCACGGCTTGCGATTTGCAAAAAGTCGATCATTTCTTCCTTCTCGTAGCTTGCAACGTCAAAAGATTGCGGAGTACTAAAATTAGGCATTCGGTTGGTTAAACGAAAGTTATCAGAAAACCATGTACAAGTAAACAAAATTTTCAGTTATTGTAAAGATGTATGAAAAGGAGAAAAATTGCAGAGAAGTACGTTTCGATATCGTTTATCAACATTTCGCCTCATTATTGCCAGTAAGCAAGCTGTTGAAAAGGGTAAATCTGCTATACGACTGTGTGAACTGCCCTTATGGCAGTTTGTATTTGGTTGTGTTCAGTTCTATTTTGTACTTCCTTTAGATTGTTTAAAGAACAAAAGCGTTTTTCTGTCTTTAATTGCAGCAATATTTATATCTTACAGATAAAAGTTTATCAAATCATCTAAAATGTGTGTATCTAAACATTTTTTGTTTGTTTAGCTCTTTTACTTGGATTTCTTCAGATTCCACATTGTTTGCAACATCCTACAGTTTCCACAAATTCATTTTACATATCAAGTTTGCTTAATACCCTCCCGATGTACAAATATCTCTTAATATTTCTGTAGACAGAATTTCTCTTTACAATCACTTAACTCTCAACACTATAAGCGCTTGCAGTTGAAGACAAATTATTAGTTAAGCGCCGACACTTGTGACATTTGTGACATATGTTTTAAAAGGCTTTTTAGCGGACGACGCATTTTTTATTCGATGAGATATTCTTCGTTCATTCATTAAGTGCACAATTTTCATTTTGCTAATAAGGATTTAGAGTTTGTGCAGGTTAGAAAATTTTTTCCTTTGTGCTCTATTTTACGTTACACTTATACAAATTTATTTACCGATAAACTCAGTAAATACATTGTTAATGTAGCCGTCAGTGCTGATGCCGAACTTTTGCACCTGTAATGAAAGCAAACTATTGCTAAACGAATATTTGATGAATTAAGTGAAATTTAAAAAATTTACCTATCACCCTCATAAACCCATGTATTACCGCTGGTGTTATCTACATCAAAAGGTAATCTTAAGGAGTGTAGAAGTACTTTCTCCATAGGTTCGTTTCGATCAGGTTTTCTACCTAGAAATTTCAGTTCTGATGTATTAGTTTTTGATGTATAAATGCAAGCTGATATATAATCTTTATCGTGGCTTATTCCAATTAATTTATACATCGCTTTGGCATCTAATGTTTGAGGCGTTTTGTGAAAAACAAATTCTCCCTCTTTCATCCAATCATCCCAAGGAAATCGTAAATTGGGTTTTAAAGGTTTCCATCTGCTATTTTTATATTTGATTTGCAGAAGCACATTAGCATCTTGATCGCCGTCTTCTGGCAATGATGCTACCTTAACCTCAACACATTTGGATTTTTCTTTACTTGGATAACGCAATATTTCATACCAAGTACCAATAATCTATAAAAGACCCTTTATATGCATTTTTTTCAATAGTAACAAAATCGTTTAGCTTTGGTTTACATACGTCTTCGGGTAAGGAGTCCGAAAAATGATGACTATCCTCTATTTTACATGACCAGATTTCGGCGCATTTAAATTCTTGCCAAGTAATTGTCAATATTAAAAATATTGAAACAGCTCGGCTAAGCATTTTTTCAATTCTATGTTCCTTTTTTTTTGATTTTAACTCTTTAATTGCGTGATGCGTGTGTGGAAGTATTTTTCTCGGTTTGCTCAGTTACAAAAGTGAAGCAAATATTTTATTCATTCATGTTATGTTCTAATAATCGATAAGGAAAATACTTTCTTATTAATCTTTTCGCCACTTGCTAGATATTAATAAATATAGTTTTGTGTTTCTTAGGGTATGAATGACAAAGACTTTGCGTCAATAAGTTTTTATGAAATACTTGATACGACGAAAACAACACACTAAGTTCTTATTAAGGGCTTAATTAGTTAAAAACTCAGCCAACCTTTCTCTTGGACGTTTCATTAAGATAAGAAATCACATTGTAATTCCTAATTTCCCTCTTTTTTGCGTAAATTAGGAGAATATTATTGATACCATTACTATTGTGGTAGTAAATAGTCTATATCGCCCTACAGTTGTTTATAACGACTTTTCAATACTAGGCGTTCCGTGCGCATTGGTCGAAAAAGTGGCCCAACGAGCATTCTTGAATCATGTCCCTTTCATTTGATATCAAGATGTTTCGTAGTTTAGATTTCGGGGATAAATAAAGGAAGCCCCTTGTAATGAGCTGAACTGGGACATTTTTATTGGACCAAATATCAATTGATTTTTCGTAATGTTTTTTTAGGACCACAATTGCTCGGAAATTTTAGGAAAAATCTTTAATGATTGCATTTGGTCATCCCGCAAGGTTAGGTGTGCATAGACGTACAAATTCTTCATGTAGGGCTAGACATAATCGAAGCAAGACACGAAGTCTAATATCACTTATGGCAATGCGATATATATAAAATAAAATTGTTACCTAAAGTATGCATAAATTGAAGCAGCCGTGGTACGCAATAAAGATTAGATAAATAATATCGGGGAGGCACGAAAATTTCAATTAGTTTGCGGTCGAGCGGCATCTATAAAAGTTTAATAAAAAAATTAGTTCTAATTACGTTTATCAACTTCAAATATAAACTGCATTAAGTTTTTCACTCTTCCTGGCGATTATCACTTGGCAAACTAAAAGAACGCAAATATTCAAATTTAAAAATTTATATGCTCGCACATGAATTAAATGAAACGAAACAGGTTTAACATGACATCAGCGAAACATCGAAATTTGAAAGCTATATTTTGTTCGTGTTTCTTCTTTATTTATCCGACCATTTACCCCTTTCTCCTGACATTTTTGTGAACCGGTACTATTAGCCTCTAGTAGTTACACTCTTCGTTTTCTGGTACAATGCACATGCTCCAGATACAAGTATTTCAAGACTGATTTGATGCCTATGACCAAAATCGAATTATAAATTTGCATTTCTTTTTATATATTCTCGATTCAAATGCACAACTTGGAAAAGGATACACTCACAAAAACCTAATAAACCTTATAACTAAGGAATATCAAAGTTATGTTGTTGCTATCATATATAGGCATTGATTCAAAATTGGAAGAAGGCGCTTATGGCGAAACTAATATTCCATTGATTAACGTAGCAGCAACACTTTTCAAGTCTTTACGTATTTGATTGGGACAAAGAGTGCTTATAGTTCACAACACAGCGACGAACACGTTGTTAATCGTTTTTCTTTGAATTTAGTTGAATGTCAACTTTTATCTTATCATAACGCTTAGATAGCAATAACATTTTCAATAGATAATGAAATATTCTCTAATAATTATTTGTGATTCTTAAAGCCGTCTAACTGTTGATTGTAATAAAATGTATTGATTTCAAATCTGTTATAAACATCGCTAGTATGCGTAATTCAGCTTTTTCATTTGCAAATTTGACAAAGGCACAGAACGTCTGAATTGAAAGCTGAAATTTATGAAACTATTCATTGGGACTGGTGGGTACGTTTTTTCTTTCTCGAAAAATAATACCCGAGATATTAGAGGAGAAGCGATACGCGGAATTTCGTTCCAAAGATTTTTGTTTCTATAGCGGTTGTCTTTTGCTTGTTTAGTCGACGTGCGAATTCACACCTTAAGCGGCCTCGTAGTCATTTGGCCTTAGGACATAGTCTTAAGGGAAACTCTACTTTTTCCATTTGGTTGTATCTAAGGAATTATAGGCGTACAGGAAGTAAGAAGCGAACTAAGAAGGAAACTCAAGACAATTTAAGAAAGTTTACCGAATTTCTCTAAGCGGTAAAATGTTATAAACGGATATGTTTGGTCTTTTAATACTTTACGCGGATCCAAAGGTAAAATTTGATAGAACTTAGCGTTGTAAATACTTAATTTTCTAATCAACCCTTAAGTAAAAAAGCGTTCTTTCTTGCCGAAGAGGTATTCTTCGTTTTCGTTATTAATTCTTATTGAAAATTGAGTTTTCGTACAGAGATACGCCTTAAACGATCTGCAGATAATTTTTCTATCAAAAAATTGCTTATTCTTCACCTATTTTTGTTCATAAAATACCAAATTTTGTCGTCGTATAAAATATTACCGTTAGAAGTCTTCCATCAGAGAGGGTCGCAAACTAAGACCAATATGGTTGAAATTTGGAATAGTGAAGTTATTTGCAAAAAGGTGATCTTTTGTATCTGCAAAAGATCTTTTGATCTTTTTGCACGGATTTGTGTACAGAAACTGAGCTCATCCCAATTAAATTTTCCATATTAATTTAATACGCCATTACACTATTTTATAAGCTTTTACTTGATTTCGCATCGGTATGGAAATTCAGAATTAATATTCCGGGCACTTTTATGTATCAAATCATGCTGAAACTTTGTACACCCTTTTGGTTCCGATAAGAGTGCAATAATAAGATGCTGTTAGGAAAACTGTAAATGGGGGGCCGTAACCGACTAAAGTTTTTTTTGCTTTTGATATGATTATATTAGTGTACCCCAATCCTAACTCGCTCTTCCGCCATAAAATGTAAAAAACTCGACCTTATTTTTGTAAAAAAAACTTTTTGTTGTAAACACTTTTATATGGGAAGAAATTCAAAAAATATTACTTCATCCGATTGAAATTTTGCATCTTCATTTTGTAAGCGAAGTAAATAAGTAATAGAGTCTCTTCATTTTTTTTTTTTTTTGGGTGTTACAAGCGGAGGAAGTATTTCTTGCACTACGGTCCTTAGATAGGGGAATATGTGTTTAAGAGGTAGGCACGCATCGAGTAGTACAAAACGTATTTGCATGGCCAGGTAAGATTTTACTGCGAGAACTAACATAATGCGTCTAGCTAAAATTATTAAATATAATAATTGATGGGTTTTATCATCAGAGAAAAAGCGGGCGAGGACGTATTTTCCAATCGGATACAATTTCTTTGCATTGAAATTTCAAAATGATTTCATCATATAATACCAGTACAGTTTTTTTTAAACAAAGCATAAGAGTACCTTATATGCTTTTATATTGGTGTATATCTTGTGAAGCGCATTTTAATACAGATAATAGCACATTGAGGTTAACAAAACAAGAACCATTCTGTTTTGTTAGCACAAGTTGGTGTGGCTAGGCGATGGTTTACGTGATATATTTCAAAGCTAGTTTAGCCCGAAAGAGTTCCTTACCCCATTTGCTTAATAAAGAAGTCAGAAGCTCGATACGCACAGGATGTGCTTAAAACTTCACTTCTTTTCACTATACGACGCTTGCGTCTTGAAAAATGTTTTAATGCCAATAGCTCTTTGAGTACACTTTCTTGTTTTTTTTTAAATATTTTATTAACTTAAAGTACTTGATGCGGTGCTATACATAGTATGCTATGCGAAATAAAACAACAAAAAATACAAAAACAAAAGTTACCGGTCTTAAACGATTTGCGCTGTTACACCTGCAAAATTAAAAAGCAAGAAATTTCTTTCAATTATTATTATGTCGCGGCTGCACTCACCTTTCGCCATGATAAACCCGAGTAATTTGATTAGGTTTTATTCCCAATTTTTCTAGTGAATTCAACAAAATCGTTAACTGCTCTTCATCGGGTACTATATCACGACTTAAAATCTTAAATACCGGTATAGCTGAAAGCCCTTCCGCGTAGCCGCAAAGTAGCATCAAATTCCCGTCCTCTGCATTCAGTAATCTGTATGTAATGTTAACTTCACCATTATCAAAGCTTAATACGAATTTCCCATTTTCAACCTCGTCGGCCCATGGAAAGGTTAAATTCTCCTGCATGAATTCCCATTTTTTATTGACATTGTTAACGTAATCTAGTTCTAGATGATATTCGTTTTTTTCTACGCTCGAAGGTGCTTTAACTTTAACGCAGGCAGGAACTTCTGCTGGAGGTATACGTACTTGCTCGTACCACACTCCCGATGTCTAAAGATAGATCAATATAAATTCTTTGATATAATAGAAAAAATGTTTAATTTGATTCACTTTATTTAAATATTGCTGCATAGGTATATCGGAAGCATTACGAGCACAACTCCATCTAGCCGCCTGAATTCTTTGAGATACATTTATTGTAATTATGAAGATAGTTAAAATATTTAATTTGCTTAACATTTTCCGCTCTATTAAACAGATGTTGTTTCGCACTTATAAAAAGGGCAATGAATGCATGAGCCACAGTCTTCTAACACTAATTTTCCATTATCAATGGTTTGATAAATTGCGAATCATTGACATGATAAAGAATTGGGAGTGTAAAGGGTTAAGACCAGGCATTTTTAAGTTATCAGATAATTGGTGAATAATAAATTGGTAGATTAGGCTTATTCGTCATTATGTAGGAAACGAATGTATAATGGTATGTGAATAAAAAATATTCAGCTGAATTTAATGTGTCGCATTATCTATTAAGGAGGTAACAGCGAGTAATGCAATTCTGATACCGATGCAGAAAAAATACGGGATGAGTTGCGGTCGATTAAAAAAATTAGTTTAAGGGGTAGTGTCGCTGTATATTTTTTAGAAAATTTCTTTTTTATTGATTTAATACATTACTTAAGCCTTCCAGATTGTGCAAAAAGAAAAGTTCATTTTTCCCCAAGCGCCCTAAAAAGACTGCTTGGGTGAAATGAGTGCTGGAGAGTTATAACCTAAGGACCTATCTCTTTATTTCTAACTCCTGTCTTATCGCTAAAAAGCATTCATTTACATTTAAAGAATGTAAAGCGCAGCCTGACCCAAATAACTTCTTGGATAGATATGAGACTGAGAACTGGGAGATCTTCTTGTTCTGTTGAAGAGACATTCAACGCAATATTTCGTATGGATGCCTTATTCAAGTATTTAACTAAATTCAATATATATTTTCTTGTGGTGATATTTTAAAACAAATGCATTTTTAAATAGGGGATATTTTATAAAAGTATTAAGCTTCGACAAAATTCGAGTTCATATATTTATTTTATTCGTTTAGTTTAAATCTGTATTGCCTTACAACCAGATAATGATCTGCTAACCTATGCTCAATTCATTGCAGGCCACTACTTTTTTTTTTTCAGAAATCCACGGAGTCTGTTAACAATTTTCATAGGATAACCGATAAGAGTCAAATTTTACTGACATGAAAAAAACTAAATTTTCATACATTTATATAATTAGTTTTTACTATCGAAACTTGTATTAATGAATATTAATTTTTTGACGTAATGAAATAGTTATTTGTAGTTTTTGTAATTCTCAAAACAAAATCCAGAAACTGTTATCCTTAGTGTAGCGACAAATTTTTATATTAATCGCTTCCTAGACAAATTCAACAATGTTTCCCCTACGACGTCAATCAATGACATGAACTGACACAAATACCTAATTTAAGAGAAAATTTGTTCAAAGTGTTTTTCGAAATTATTAATAATAAGTTTTTTTTAACCATTAAGGCACTTAGCATCATCTTCTTTCCAAGCCAGAAAAATAACAACCCGTAGCGTAGCGTGTGGGACGTCACCTCTGAGTTTCTCTAAATCTGATTCGTTGGTACAAGTTACCGCTCCCTCTAAAATGAACGTTAATGTTTCCGATATTGTTGAGTCGGTTGGTAGCAAAACAGTTACAAACAAACCGGCAAGTCCATCGGTTTTAAGCTATGGTGAAGTGGTAAGGGTATCTCCGCTCAAGGCCCCCACTCACTCTAATCAAGTGTCATCGCCTGAAAATAATAAAGAGAAAAATAAATCATCCTCTCCCCCTGGCCGTTCGAATGTGAATGCTGGTCACCAGACTGGGCAAGTGGCACAAGCTGCTGGTGCAAGGGCGATAACGCCATCTATATTCTCCCTAACTCTAAACTCCCCAACCGTGAACCCTCCTGTTCCAACTAATGATATTTGCTGTTGTGTTCTTAAATGAATTGTTTGATCAGAAATTGGTTCAATATAATCGTACCCCTAATTTTAATGGTAGACTGCTTGATCTCTGCTTTGCCAATTTTCCTGAAATTTGTGTTAATCGTTGTCTTCCTTTTGGTTTGCCTGAGGATCCTTATCATTCAGCATTGGGTATTTCCTTTCATTACAAGCATGATGGTTCGTTGAACTACTGTAATGTTCCAAATTCACCTTTTTCAAATAAATTTTATGATTTCCATAAAATCCATAAAAAATGCTTCAATGCTAAAATCTCATCTTTCACATATAATGCTTGGTTTCTCAACTGGAAGTATTGAAAGCTTACTGTCATCGTTCTACAGTATATTAAGTCTACCTATTTCTACATCTGTTCCTCAAAGCGGGTGTTCCGCGTGGTTTAATAAGACAATTGAATATTACAAAAATAGAAAAAACACGCTTTTCAAAAAATATTCGAGAAGTGGCTCTGCTTTCGACTATTTCGCTTACTCGGCGGCAAGGCATAGATTTAACTCTCTCAACCACCGATATTATTGCAAACACCTGCATTTCGTTAAATCCTCTTTGTTTGCTAACCCTTAATACTTTTTTCAATTTGTTAACTCAAAAACAAAAATTTCCACATCTCCCTCGCATGTTTCTTTTAATGGGTCTGCTTCCTCTTTGCTGAATACTTCCGTCGAAACTTTTCGACTGCTAGTGCCGATTTATCAGCAAACTACCCATATCCTATAACTAACTCGGTTTCAATTCCTAACTTGGTTATTTCGGAAGATGACGTTTCTAAAGGGTTGAGTTCTCTAAAATACAGTTGTGCGCCTGGACCTGATGGAATTCCATCATGTGTACTTAAATCTTGCGCTGTCGAGTTATGTGGTGTGATCTCAAAGATTTTTAACCCGTCCTTGTATTTAGGTGTTTTCCCTTCATGTTGGAAGAGTAGTTTCCTATCCACAAAAGTGGAAGTAGACAACTTGTTGAGAACTACAGAGGCATAGCCAAGTTGAGTGTCTTGCCCAAGTTGTTCGAGCGTATTGTGACTCAGCATCTGGCCTTTGCCATTAATTCGTATATTTATCCGCACCAGCGCGGCTTTCGGAAAGGGCGATCTAAAATCACCAACTTGTTGGAGTTTACTTGTCATGTTTTCAAGGCTTTTTCTAGTGGCTTTCGCACAGATGTTATATACACTGATTTAAGCAAAGCATTTGATATGGTTGACCACAACTTTCTTATTTTTAAACTCCATGCCTCTGGCTTCCCTTTCTATTTAGTGAAATGGATAAGCTCTTATCTGCGCAATAGATCCTTCAGGGTTTTGTTTAACTTCATCACCTTTTATTCTCACATCTTTGTGAATTATTGAGAATCATTTTCAGTTGAAGGCAAATTTTTATGCGCTTACTCTCGCATGCACGCAATTTTTATACAAATACTTGAACAATATTAAAAATTATAAACAAATTGAACTCTTATTCTCACATCTTTGGAATTATTGAGAATATATATGCTTATTCCATAAAGGCAGCAAATTTTATACAAACACATGTTTCGAATTTAATAGTCCGAATAGATTCCTTAAGCTTATCAAATGTAACATATTGGAGTTTTTTTTATCAGAATTATCAAAAAAGATTCCAATTCTTCACATTCGCCGCGCAGTAGTCGACACAGCTTTGAAGGCCATGTTAGTCCCGATGAAAATGTGCGTCAATCTAAGTTAAACGTTTCCAACTGCGTTCTTATCTACTCCCAACTCCGGCCGTTCTCCGCTAGCTTTTTGAAGTCCTAATGTAACATTAGTTTCTCTCAGCACCAAGCTCTTGGAGTACCCACTAACATTGTCTCCACAACTATGTTCAAACGAACAGCGACATTTTGCATTTAAGTTTGTTTGTTCGATGCTTCTCCTAACAAATTAAGTATTTTAAATGAAGTTTCTAGAGTCGATTGTGAGTTTGAATGTGGAATTATAAATTTGTTCTATCAAAAAATCCTCGAGGAAAGAGAATAAAGGCAAATTTATATGTAAAGGAAGTTTCTTGGTGACGGGCTTCGATTAACGGAAAGAAATAATTAAAAGAGTATGTCTGTAGCACACTCTAAAACCGTAAACAGGTTTCTCTCGAGATACCATTACTCCATTACAAATACTTAGAGAGTTTTCGATAGCTTAACTAAAATACGATTTATTAATAAAAGATTGCTTTTTTTTAGAAATTGAACTTATCTATTCGAATACTCACCAAACACAAAAAAATTTGCACCAGTTACACAATGTGTCGCAGACCGCCTTCAATTAAGGACGTCTCACAAAAATGGCTCTGGTGTAGCAAATTTTTTTAAATTTTTCATTATCAACTATCATAAAAGTATGATTTTTGTAAACAGCTACAGTGGCAGGTAGTTCATTAACGGCAATTAATTCAGTATCAAGATCAGTCTTATAAGGCGTCGGAAATACCCGATGCAATAGGCGCTGCTGCTTCAACTAAGCTTAACTAACAGCAGTTACATCGCTAAAATGAATATATGCAACGTTGGTAGACAGTTTATCTCAAATTCCAAAGCTGTACGATTGCAAGGAACATATTTGGTCCCCACTGTAAAGCAGCGAAAGTGTTACTACATTTGCAGGTAGAACTAAAAGTTATCTTCCACAAAATTAACCGACAGATATACAAACGAATTTTTTATACGTAATCATAGAATTCAGAAATTTTCTCGGGGATTAAAAACAAAAAAGTGTAGAAAAAAACGCTGGTGTAAACCGCAACCTTGTCTCGCAGCCGAACCTGAAAGTGAGAAGTTTCAGGTGTTTTTGTTGTAATCACCAAAGCAAATCTTTGAACAAATAGGTCATACGTTGACGTGAAGAGTGACAACTTTACTTACTCTCTTCAAATTCAGATCGTTGGTGAAAGAATTACCTCCTCCTGATCTCACTTATTCACAAGCCTGTCGGACCCGACAATCACGGCGACGCTTGCATTATCGCGCCATAAACACGAAATAGAATGGCAATAGTGTCTAATGGAACTTTTCCATAGCCGTATTTGATGTTTTTGAACGCCATGGGCCTTTAATAGAATTGACATCAGGCTCGTCATCACTTACATAATACAAGGACATATCGATAATTTTAGTACTTTACTGTCTTGTTTATGGCTGAAAATTATTGAATTATTTGACTACCCTCCCTCGCCACAAACGTGGTAACGTCAGATAAATGAGTTGACTGTTTTAGCGAGCGATTTTCAGTTAATT